TAAACAACTTCTTTCAGCGAATGTCTGTTGATTTCGGCTTCTTCAGGTCAGAATGAAAGACAAAACCGTGTGTAAGGAAAATGTATTGAGTTCTCTGAGGAATTTTCCATCAGATTTGCTTCTGCTTCCGAGTACTGCAAGAGGGACAAGATATTATACTTCGTCATGTCAACTTCCAAGATTTAATGACATCACTGGAAATAAATATACAAGCAACTTAAAACAATTTCATTACATGTATTACTTTGTATTTCATTTCTTTATATTTCTTATCTTTATGTTCTCCATGTGTTGTTTTAGTCCTAATGATGTTAACATAGAAATAGCAAATTTGAGCGACGTAAATGATTGTTCACGTAAAATCGCTTTAGGACACATCGTAGCAACGGAATATGTCGTAAGTTGAGGAGATTCCAACACGCTTTCCTCACATAGAGTTTTATCGCTTACTATATATATATATATATATATATATATATATATATATATATATATATATATATATATATATATATGATAAAATAAACTTTTTAAGATATGCTATATTTCTAGGTTAAAATACTCCAGGATAGAACATATGTAAATATAAAAGTGGACATTAATGTTAACAACAGCCCCGCGACAGTTAAGAAACGTCAGACCATAAAGACTGTGTATAAGCATAAAACAGACTGTCGCCGCTGGGTGCTGACTTTATGTGTCCACTTTATATATATATATATATATATATATATATATATATATATATATATATATATATATATGGTTAGCTCTATCTCTGATATTGAGCCCTTTCTAATAGGTACAGGGCATATAATATGTAAATAATTATATATATATATATTTATATACACACACACATACACACACACGCGCGCGCACACACACACACACACATATATATATATATATATATATATATATATATATATATATATATATATATATATATATACAATGGGGGGATAAATATTCGTACACCATGAAATTTTTAATTAAACTTAAACCATTATAACTTAATAAAAACTAAAAATTCATTCAATATTTCAAAACCATTACATAATGCTGCAATAGGCAAAAAACAATTAGGAAACTTGTTATAAATGAAATTATGTATTATTTATATTTCGAGGCAAAAAATTATTTGTATAAAATATGTCTTTAATACCATAATTTTTTGTAAGATTTTGCTAGATTCTTCCAATTATCTTATTACCAAATCTATCTAAAACATTCTGCAATTCATTTCTTATATAAGATTATCTCCGCACACAAATCATTCACAATAATGATCATCTTGGGGAAATGCAATGAACTATCAAATTCGCAAAAAGAATTGATCATCAAACATTGGAAGGAATGTAAAAGCTATAGGGAAATGGCAGATATCCTGAATATACCATTTACTACTTTTAGTTCTGTTATTGCTAAGGATAAAGAGGTGAAATCTGTTGAGAACAAATCGAGATCTAGTGTAGTACACTAGATGTCTCCCAGATCAATGGGAAGAATTCTGCACGAACTTCAAGAAAATTCTATGACTACTCGGACAGAAATGCAGAAATAATTAAAAGTATCAGGTATTATTATTATTATGAAGCGAACAATAAGCAATTTCTTCATAGAAGTCAACTAAGATTGCGTTCTTCAAGAAAAAAACCCAAAAAACACTACTATTGTAGAAACATAGTGATTCCCGGTTACAATTTGATTGAGAGCATAAGAATAAACCTGAATCATTTCTGGAAACTGTTTTATGGACAGATGAATCAAAAATTGAAGTATTTGGGCGTAATTCAGGGACTCGGGTTTATCGAAAAGACGCTACAACCATTTCACCGAAGAACACAATCCCAACGGTGAAATTTGGTGGTGGCAATGTCATGCTTTGTATATGTTTTTCACGAATGAATTCCAAAATATGGCAATATATATATATATATATATATATATATATATATATATATATATATATATATATATGGATATAATCTTATATAAAAAATGAATTTCAGAATGTTTTAGATAGATTTCGTAATAAGATAGATCTGGTAATATATATATATATATATATATATATATATATATATATAGATAGATAGATAGATAGATAGATAGATAGATAGATATATAAGGTTTTCCAATAACTTGGACCGATTTATTTTAAATGTGAATTAAGTTATGCGTCTAATGATGTCTTTGGCAATTTCAACCATGGAAAGATTAACAATCAAACAACGTGTTAAATTTATCGACGACTATTAAGAAAATGGACGTTCAAACAGAAATACAATGAGAAGTTCCCAGGTCGCATCATCTCTCGATACAGCGAAGTCAATTGGTCACCACGATCGTGCGACTTGACGCCTTTAGATTTCTTCCTTTTGAGTCATCTAAAAAGTAAGGACTATGCCAACAAGCTAACAAGGCATATTGATGAGATTGAGGAGCAATTATGCAAAGATGTCATCAAAAACTTTGACCAACTGTGGAGGCGTGATGCCGAAGTCTTGCTGGACATTTGGCCAATATTATGTTTCACGCATAATTGCCATGACTTAAATAACATTATCCAGTAGAGAAATAAATAAATTTTCACCAAGAACACTGGTTTATTTACTGATGACTACGATCCGCCTCAATGAAACACCCACCATATATATATATATATATATATATTTTACATATACAGAACTGGGTTGATAAATTGCCTCCTAAATGACGCAAAAATGAAAATAGCACTGACATCTCATTTTCACAGATATATTTATCAAAATGACACAAAAATAACTTGAAGTACAAAAGACTAAATTTATTCCATAAAAACGACATTGGCTCCAACCACGGCCTCCTGCATCTCTTCTGGATGGTCTCTTTGTTTAAGTTGGTGAATGCTGCCATAATCCTTGCATTCAGTTCATCTTTGGTGTTAAAGTGAATTTTGTTGTTCACTCGCTCAACTGCATCCCACACATTATAATCAAGGGGGTTGCGGTCTGGGGAGTTAGGTGGCTAAATGTAAGGGGTTATGTCATCGCAGAATTTGTCTGACAGCCATGACTGGGTTCTCCTTCTTGTGTTGCAGTGTGAAATGTCCTGTTGCTAGACATAGGCTTCTCCAGCAGTCACCCTCTTGATTCATGGCAGCACTAGCAACTCAAGACACTTGATGTAGGCCTCCGTGTTGTGCCTGAGGCCCAAACCAACAAATTCGAGAGTTCTTTTCTTATCGGAACTATCAAAGTGAATTTTCAGAGCTGCCCTACCTTTGTAATCACCGTTAGACTCATCCAACTCTTTCCTAATCCTCTGCACTGTCCTAAGATTGACACCTAAACACTCTGAAATGGTCGTATTGTAGCTTCCGGCGCGAATGCCAAACAGTACAGTATGCCGTTTCCAAATTTCTGGAGATTTATTTTCCAAGGAAAATAATCACGTGATGGAGGTGTTGTAGGGAACGAACTGATAATCCTCAGTATACAGAGAACTGATACACTTCTATTAAATGAACTGTTCCAGTAGGAATATAAGCATCTATTGTGTTGGTCCCAGGCTGTGGGCTGTTTTCCAGCTTGAGATGAACTTGTCAATGTCCACTTGCATTGTTCTTGTTTAAAATAAACCCTTATATTTTGTAAGCTACCGTCCTAGTTATTATTTCAATAACCACCGGACAACATAAAAAAAGATATTAAAAGAATTACATAGATAGATAGATAGATAGATAGATAGATAGATAGATAGATAGATAGATAGATATGAGCAAACTAAGATAGATATTAGAGGCTCAGAAAGTAGATAGATAAATGTTTCATTTCATTTTAAATCCTATCAAAAACAGCGAAAACTTCCAGACACGGGATGCTTAGTCGCAGACGTCTTGGAACCCAATTCCAGCCCTTCAACCACTCAACTGTCACTCAGGATAAAAAGCTAGCGAGAGAAAAAGTTGAAAATGAATCGCAAAGCGAGCAATGTAAAAGTGTTATGCGCTGAAAAACGAACTTGCGAAAGAGTGTTCTTGGTGTTAAGGCGGTAATGGCGGTGATTATGGTGGCGAGAGTAGAGCTCTTTAGGGAAAAAAGGAAAGATACATCAAAGTAATGAAGGGAGAAACGAGAGGAGGGTGAAATGAAGAGAATTGCCGAAAATAGATAGACACGCGAATGACCGTGGGGTCGAGAAAGGACAAGTCGAATTAAGGTGACAGAGAAATAATCAGCGATTGAGAGAATGAAATAAAAGGAGAGGAAGAATGAGTTGGAAGGAAAGACAATCAATTACTAAAAAGGCAGGAAAATGTGAACAGGAAATGAAGGAAGTGGACATTGTTAAGAAGTTAAAATACATAAGAAAGAAAGAAAGAAAGAAAGAAAGAAAGAAAGAAAGAAAGAAAGAAAGAAAGGAAATCATTGAAATTCTAGAAATAAATAAAAATTAATGAATTAATGAAAGTAAGAATAAAAAAAGAAAAAGTCGTTGAGCAAGAAAGATAATCAATAAATCGTTAAAGAGTGAAAAGAAGAAAAGAAATAAACAAGGCAGGGAGGATAGAAATAAAGAAAAAACTGAAACAGCATTTAAGAAAGAAAGAAAAAAAGAAAGAAATGAGGAAAGAAAAAAGAAAGAATTAAAATCTTTTAGGTTAAAAAATAAAGCCTAAATAAAAAAAACAAGCAGAGATAAAGATAAAGGCTAAAAGGAAGGAGAATTTTAAAATTCTGCACGAATGTTTCAAGGAATTATCAGAAAATACATTTCTTTTTTATTATAAACGTAAGATGAAGAAAAACAGAAAGCGGGGGAAAAAAATAATAAAATATTTGATGCAAAAAACACTAAAGTTTTGAATTGGGCTGTTCAGGTTATTTTATTCTGGAAAACTAAAGAATGAAAGAAATGAAGAGGGAGAAAAAGTTAAGCGAATTATAAAAGGGTGAGATATATATTTCAATGAATATGATGTGATAGAGGATGATAAGAACATTTATAAAGCACTAAAAAGATTTAGATAGATAGATAGATAGATAGATAGATAGATAGATAGATAGATAGATAGATAGATAGAAATCTATCGAGACAGATGTGAGTAATCGCAAATAAATGAAATTAAAAAGAAAAGCGATAAAAAGAAAGCAAATGAAAAAGAATATAAAAAAGTAAAATAAATCGCCAAATAGGATGATAAAGAAGGAAATATGGAAAGAAGCAAAGGAAAAGAAATAAAGAAAGAAAGGAAGAAAGAAAAGAAGAAAGAAAGAAAGAAAGAAAGACAGAAAGAAAAGGAAAGTGACGTAAAATCTTGTGTGTGAGTGGGTGGGAATACAATGCCAAGCGGAGTCAACGGACGAGCGGTTGCGGCGGATATCGAGTTTTCTATTCAACCATTGAGTCTCCTTGATCACGCACACACCTTTAAAGCTGCCACCATCATCGCCGCCGCCACAGCTCCAACTCACAATCCGCCTCCATCGGTGCAATTCGTAACTTTTCTACCACCACCACCACCACCACAACTGCCCAATTCTCTCTCTCTCTCTCTTTCTCTCTCTCTCTTCATCAGCGCTGTAGAGTGTAACACTTCATCCAGCCATCCGTCCGTTCGCATTTCCCGCCTCTACGAACGTCGCCGTTGCCTCTTTTCCTTGCATCGTTTCCCCTCGACCTCTTCTTCCTTTCTTCCTCAGCTCCGTTGTATCGGCAACCGAAACTCGATCACACAAAGACGCACGCAGCGAAACAGGCTTAGACGCGGATATAACAAACACACGCTTGGCACGCATGCGCGCGCAGGCACGGAAACGCCGCTAATTCGTGTACACATGCGTCGCTGCACGCACAGTTGGACGAAGAGAGGTTTGCACTCATAGATACTCGTTACGCGAAACGAACACGCTTTTTGCGCCAACTTAGACATTGATTTCTACTGTCAAAAATAGAAATACACGCACGATTCCGAACACGTATACACACACACACATATATATATATATATTGAAAATAGATATAAACGCCTGTTACAGAGTTTGGATGAACTAACTAGTCTTGTTAAGCATTGAGTGTAAGTTCGTTCGCCAGTCGGTTCTACATTATATTTACATTAGACCAGATTATCAAAATTCTAAATATTTACTTTAGATGCGTTTTGTGGGGAGAGGTAGAGCAATTCACTTATTCTAATGAGTGACATGCTAGTCGCATATTGCGATTTGTGTCAGATAGACTATGAAAAGTAAAGAAACTTATTTTTTTTACACATGTATGAAGCATAAAATAGATATAAACAGATACATTTTAAGTATCTGAAGCATACATTTAACGATACACACACGTTGTGTTACACACGCATAAAATCTTTTTTTATATTTAAATATACGGTAAATAGATAGACTTATATAGATAATCATACACAATAAGATTTGTAATTATATTTTTATATTACCACTAAAATATAGACGCGAATACGGAAGATAAAAAAAGCCGCGGGGAATTATTTATGTATATCAAATTATATATAGATATACACATAGAGAAACATATAAGAATAATTCACAGTAATTAACAAAAATGTCATATAAATTCATTAATTCTTTAGAAATTGCCTTGTTTAAGTTTCAATTACGTAACTGAGTAGATATGGACTCTCAGGAAAAATAATCTAAATGAAAAGGATTGCCTCCTTAAATAGGGTAAATAGAGATTGTCTGTTAAGACTTTTGTGACCAAAGCGGGAAAGGCATCTCGGACACTAAGAGGGACAGGGTTTGATACCTACCTAAGGATGAATTTTCTTTACTGAGATTTTTCGAATGAGCAAGCCAATAGATGTATTACACACTGTTTAATAAATAAACAAAAATGAGGCATCTATAATCAAATAAGATATATATATATATATATATATATATATATATATATATATATATATATCTTAAGGTGTGCTATATTTATGGGATAAAGTGCTCAATATCAGAGATAGAGCGTGTGTAAATATAAAGTGAACATAGAAATCTGCGCTAATGCAAATCGTCAGGCCCTGATGATTGCATATAGCATGAAACAGACTGTCGCCTCTATGTTGACTTCTATGTTCACTTTTATATATATATATATATATATATATATATATATATATATATATATATATATATATATATATACCTCTAGAAACTTTCTAAAAAGTGAGCATACCATGATGAAAAACGGCCCCAAACGTGTTAAAAACAAACGTTTATCGTCAAAATGTTTACGTTATCCTTAAGAAAGACCAAAGTATTTTTTTTAATTATTTTATTAACTTTTTAATGCTTCCTAGCACATTCGATATGTTGGTTAAAAATCTCGTTTTTTTTTCTTACGTCGGTGAGTTTGTATTAGTATTTTTAGCGTTTTTTTGGCATTAAAAACACATTGTTTTGGAAATTTTTTAAAAAATAAAATAATTGTTGGATTTTAATAAAATTTTTAGGACTTATTCACAAATGAATGAAATTATTTTTTTAATTTTTTTATAGAATATTTTGCTAAATTGCTTTAATTTTTACCCGCACTAAATTTTTAGGCATACCAGCCTCTTCATATTTATATTAGTTGAAAGCATGCGTCCTTGAAGAATTTAAATCATCAATTTGTTTTTTGTCAAACAGAAAGACTATACCGAATATCTGCTCCGAATCATAAAATAAAAATGCAATAAAACGATGACATTATTTAATTATAAAAACTTTTAATTGTTTTTATAAATAAGGAATATTAAATACACTATTGCCTTGAAAAAAAAAATCGATGAGTAATGCATTTTTACAAGAACTCTCTTAATTTTTTTCAAATTTTAATTACAATATTTCATTAAGTTTTAAGTAATTTAAAATTCCGTATTAATTTCACCTTTTTAGATTATATTATTATTAAGTGAAAACTATATTTGCTAATCATATCAGACTGCCAATCACGCTAGATAACACGATCTTTTCCCGAAAATTCTGCTCATAGATGGGCTCTATGGATGTTGAAGAAACACAAATATGCTTTAGCAGGAGTGTACAATGGGGATTAGCTAGACGCCCTTGTAGACTGGAAGGTTCTCATGCAAGTAGCTGCTTTTAATACACACACACACACACACATATATATATATATATATATATATATATATATATATATATATATATATATATATATATATATATACGCTGAAACTTCTGATAACTAACCTCCTAACAGAACACTAAACGAACTTTGCAGTTTCTTGATGAATTAGATCTGGACGTACGCGGCCTAAAAACTGTAATGATATATTGATAGACGTTATCGGTCGAATTCGAATAAAGATAAAATATTGTTATAAATATATATATATATATATATATATATATATATATATATATATATGATAAAATACAGTTTTAAGGTATGTTATATTCATGGGTAAAAAAGCCTATGTAAATATAAAAGTGGACATTGAAGTTTCATGACCTGGCGATTGCGCTTAAGCATGAAACAGTCTGTCGACGCTGGGTGTTGATTTTGTCCCTTATATATATATATATATATATATATATATATATATATATATGTGTGTGTGTGTGTGTGTGTTTGTGTGTGTGTGTGTGTGTGTGTGTGTGTCTATGTGTATGTATATATATATATATATATATATATATATGTGTGTGCGTGTGCACGCGCGCGCGCGTGTGTGTGTGTGTGTATTGCAACATGTGTGTAAGCGACTTTTTCTCGTCTTCCTTCTTTTTCCTTTCTATCCTTGTCACTCTATGCACGAGATAAAAAAATGAACTGCAAACATTGAATCCTTGACAGTTATAAACACGTGCGATTGCAGGCATACAGTCTCTTTGACATGTGTTCTCCCGTTCTCCCCGACACTCATTCGCTCCATCTCTCTTCTCTGTCTGTCTCTCACTTTTCTGTCTGTCTCTCTCTTTCTCTAGATAGATAGATAGATAGATAGATAATGTGAGAACACCTTCCTATCTATATTCACGCAATCATGAGATACACTTCCCTGTCCACATTTAACTCGAAAATCGTCTTTCTTTTCTGTTTTCTTTATCTCCAACACCACCACCACCACCACCTCTTCTTCTTCTTCTACTTGGACAAAAGAATAGACAGATTAAAATATATGTATAGACTGCGATCGGTCGATAGGGAGATAGATTGTTTATTTCATGATAACATTAAATCTTAACCAGTTAGTTCATTTTGTGTATATATATATATATATATATATATATATATATATATATATATATATATATAGAGAGAGAGAGAGAGAGAGAGAGATGAGTTGCGTTATATCTGTGTGTTAGTGTGTGTGTTTATGCGGATTATCAGGCTCTATCATTGATCTGTCTACGTATATCGATAAATTCGTTAGACCCGCACGTTTGCTGTATCTATCGCCCGACTAAGCTAGTTCATTGAAGTTCAAACAATTAAAGAATATATTCGAATATTCTTCACATTCATTGTTAACGTACCTTCAACTTCTCTCTCCGTTGTTACACTTTTTTCTTTATTTCTTTCTTCTTTTCTTTTACTTACTGATGTTATTTTCTATTCTTTCTACATATTCATAGAGATACATAATTTTTTGTACGTGTGTGTTTGTGTGTAAGTGTTTGTATGTAACTGCGCATGTCTGTGAATGTAGAGACGAACTTCCATCATCTACCGAACTGACTTTATTTCTTGATGGGTATTTCACGATTTCGTTGGAAGATGAGAGCAGGGGAAAATTGATCTGTGTCTTTCAAAGCTTATTTGAACCGGAGCTCTCCCAAAAAGCGAAACATTTTACAACGGAATATGTGGGCTTCTACTTTTATCGATGTGTCTGCGTCTGTATGCGCGTGCATACGTTCATATTTTAGCTTACGTTCTCTAAATACATGTAGAGGCAAACCCAAGTAATTAAAAAAATGTCTGTTAATAAATCTTCGGATGTTAAACTAAAGACTATCTGTGTTTTTAACCAAAATTTGTTATTGTATTAGGAGGGCGATGGTGAGAAGTTCTCGAGCCGACAAAGACGCGTTTCCAAAATATAGCTGGTGGTGTATCATTTGATTTGATTTTTGGAAGTTAGGCCTGCAGAAAAATTTTGAACACCTATCGTTGAATGTCCTACGCATAAATGGGTGATCACTTTTATATTGTTTTTAAGTAATAAACTAATCCCCATAGACAGAAAATGTATTTTAATATTTTGACCTAACTAAGAAGAATTTTTTAAAAATATCTGAGGTTTGTTCTTTTGCACCAAATTTGGGAAGTGATTGAAACCGCGAACATTTCAACACCCTTTCATCATTTTGGCTGGGGTTGAGAAGAGGCAAATGATTAAAACTAATCTATTTCCATTCTGAAAACCAAAATTTGTGCTATCATCTCACTTTAGAGTGAATGAAATTGTGTATACACCTCTAGTGAAAAGAGATAATTCATGCTAAATTGTTAGTAAAAAAATATTTGTCGCTACATCTTAATTCTTAGAGAGTATTCTTTAAGAGTATGGATTCTCTGAGTCATATCGATTCAGTTTAATAGCAATATTCTTTTGCTTAGAGATGAATAGCAATGAGGTTTTGGAGGAAGATTTATTACTGAACATCAGGAAATAACTTGACTAAAGTTATAAGGTATATCGCGAATCAGTGACTGGAAAGAAAAATCGCTCAAAGTGAAAATGACAGATTCACAGTGTGGTAAGCATTTCAGTAACCTGGCCACATGCAGCAACCAGACGTGGCATCGATTCCACAAGTAGTCGGAAAACCCCTGAAGAAATTTTTTACATACGGATTATTGTCCTTATTTTTGTTGTTCTTATCACAATGTCTCGTATGTCTGCTGATCCGGGTAACTTAAAGGGAATTCGGAAACTGAAACATT